GTTCTTAAAATGAAATTCACTTCCCACTCAGTTAGGCACCCTGCTAGGGACACAGCTGTTCTGTGCACACAGAGAACAGAAATATTCCTCCTGTTTTTGCAAACTCTGTTGTAGTGACAGGAGAATAAATGTTGGCCCAGGCTGAAGAAATGACCTGTTTGCTTTGCATGAGTCTTCTCTGTTCCTTCCCTAGACAGCTGGAGAAAGGGGTACAGGATCTAAAGGTACAAAAGTCCCCAACTTTTCAGCACTAAGGACTCCTTTTACTGTCTTCACGTAAGGAACCCAAGTTTTGAAAGAATCACTCTAATAATGACATTTCTTAAGTAGTTTTGAACTAACAAAGCTCTGGATGATTGGCATGGGATAACCAGCCAGTGTCACTGAACACAAAGAAAGCTTGAAGCTTTAGTTAGCCTGTGCAGCTTTAGGAGGGAAAAGAAACAGTTTCTGTTGGGCTTTTGTAAATAATGAAAACAGGTCCCAGGCCCCGTAACTACCTTTGTGGATCTGACCCAGGGACAGATTACCCAATAAGCAAGGTATGCACAGGCTTACTTGTGCTTATTTACTAATCTGTAGTGCAAAATCTCACCTGGTTTTCACTGAAATTGTTCACTACAGATTAGTAAGTAAATACAAGTAAGCCTGTGCATACCATGCTTATAGGTTAATGTGCTCCTGATCTGACCCACAGGGGTCTGGAGATCCTGGGCTGTAAATCAGTGGCCCATATGTTCAGCTGATAAGAGAAAGGACAGCAGAGACATGAAACTGCCCTCTAGAGCCTGCTCATATTGAGACGCTTCAGCCACAGAAATACTAAGTGCCTATCATTCAGTCGTACAGGACAGCTGATATTTATTATGTTTATTCATAATTGGATCGCTCGTTTTCTGGTGCTCAGTGCATGGCACTTCACAGAAAACCTCCCAGAGCCTGGGGATCTGGGCGATGGTCATGAACCATGCGGGAGGCTTCATGGAGCGAGGGAGGCTGAGGGCTTTCCCTGGGTCCTTGTGCTGAGAGGGAAGGAGGAGAGGCTGAGAGCATCACCATTACTTAATTAAGTTAGCATTTTCTCCTTTCTGTACTTCCTCCATGCCCTGTAAGAAAAGAAAGCAGCAGTGAACTGGGCAGCTGAGCAGTCCTGCATTCATGTACTGGCAGAGAACGC